TTATATATATATATATATATATATATAAATATGCCAAGTAGAGCCTTAGCAACATCTTCATCACCTATAACCCCAAATCAAATAATTAAAAAACAAGCTCAGGAAATGACCTTTTCTCCTGAACCAATACCAATAGCTACAAATACAACTGGAGAGAAAAGTAGGTTCATAGAAACCTCTTTCATAACCATCATTGTAATAGAAGACATTCATAAACCAAAGACCCATGGGAAGTAGCCGATATATATCTGAGAAACCATTTGCACCCAAATAATGGAGAGAAAAGCCTAGAGTGGTATGAAACTATCCTTCTTGAAACCGGATCTGTTACCATAGTCCATTTCTATAAAAAGAATACCAATATGATAGCATATTCCAAATTTCAATAAGAAAAATAATTTCATACTAAGAGTGGGGCTCAGACCCCTTGAAACCTAGAAAATTACAAAATGAAGGTTTCAACGATAAATATTATCAATATTTCCAATACATCAAAGCATGGCATGAGGTATTTGCTTTTCAGAATATTAATAATTCTCATACATGGTTCATACAAATGAAAATACCAATATCAGGAGAATTTCCAAATTGGTTCAAAAGTTGGTTCCAATTGTGGGGATCTGGAATAGAAATATTGCACCTAATATTCAAGCTTCGCAAAGGAAGTTTGTAGAATATAACAATAATAATAATAAAATAGATCTCCATATGTATTTTATGGCTTTATACCAAATACCATGGATCATGAAATGGTCATACCATATAACAGATGATTATACAAATAATTGGGAATATATCCCAGAAATAGGCAAGCAAATATATATAAAATGGTGGGATGTGTACGAAAATGAAGCCCTAAACCCAGACAAGATAAGAATGAGAAAGGTATCATTTTCACCCCATGATACAGAAGTAAAAATGGCGGACTATATAAATAAGCTTCGTCAACAAAACCCTACTTCAACTAGGGAAGAACTCAAAAAGAAACTACTCCAAATGTTTGATGAAGAAGAAGAAGCTATGTCCACGTCAACTTAGAATGAGGAATCCTATGAGCAAGAAAACGAGGATATGGACTTTGGAAATCACAATAAAAAATACCATAATACACATGACGGAACGACTGCAACCAGAAGCACACGAGTCCTGTCGACAAAATAGTAAACTGTCGACGAAATAGTAAACGTTGCCGACAACATCTTTTCCTGTTCATAAACAGCATTTTCCTGTTCACCGACAACATCTTTCACCTTTTGATCCCACTCAACATCACCGACACCTTTTGGTCCTATCACCGACACCTTTTCTACCTTTTAGTCCCGACCAATGTCAGCAACGCCTTTAGGTCTTATCCAACACCGACGAACTTGAAAATAAGATTTGGAGTCCACAGGCTATAAAAGGGGAGGAAGGCCATTCATTTGGGCATCGAAAAGTTTTTCTCCCTCAGTGCTCTCTGCAAGTCTACTCTCTCTCTGTAATCTCTCTGCAAGTCTCTTCTCTCTCTCTATTGTATATCTGGTGGTGTATCTAGCCAACCAGATCACGTTCCTATAAGAGTGTTGTGAGAGTATTTGTAATAGTAATTGTTGAAGTATTACATGTGTGATTGTAACTGGGACTCGTTACCCAACTACTGCCCAGACGAGTGGAAGTTATTTTCAAGTTTCTGCATGTGTCATATGTAAGTTATTTGTTTTTCTTTTTCTTATGCAGTTTAATATAGTTTTTATATAAAATTTTGGCATGTTATTTATGTTAATTGGATTATTATTAATATATCCACTCCTTTGTGTATCTTCTGCTTAATAATATTTGTCCTTGTAAGACTGTCATTATGCCGTTAATATATTTCCTGTAGTTATTTTGCTTTTGTGAGCCTTATATATATATATATAGTGATATTCACAAAAATACCCTTACTTTAATAAGCAAGATATCACAAAAAGTAACTTTAAAAGAAAAATAAAAAAACTACAAAATTAGTAAATCCACCCTTCAGAACTCATTCTATCATTAGCCTTTGTAATTTGAAGGGTGGTAAATTTTAGATTATCCCATATATATATATATATATATATATATATAAGCCACTCTACAAATAAAGCTCCAGGACACTAACTTCAAAAATGCCATTATACGTTTGTACAAATTTCACATTTGCCATTGCTTAATGGTTAAGGTACCTATTAAAATAATTTATAAACAAAAAGTAATGATCTTTTTGATAAATACACTCATCACAACCCCTTCTAACATTCACCTTTGTATTTTGAGGGGTTGTTAACTCTAGACAAACCCTATATATATATATATATATATATATGGAAAAGCTAAAAAATGGCTATAGGCGAAAATGAATAGTGTTCGTCACCGTCACGAACTTGCTATGACCGTGGCGGTTTATTGAACGCAGCCACAACGGAAGACATGTGGTCCATGGCGATTTCCGTGGATTTTTCGACCGCCACGGACATGGCTATGTCCGTGATGGATTTTTTGACCGCCACAGCTATAGCATGTCTGTGGTAGTACCGTCATGGACATGTTAAGTCTGTGGCGGTCAAAAAATCCTTGCCGTCGAAAAAAAGCTGACGGCGATGGCGTTATGGGCGAGATCATTGTAGTATCTCGCTCATAGGCATTGCATAGATGCTTCCTAGAAAATTCAAATGCGAAATAAGGTCGTGATTGTCAGATCGGCTCAGATTCAATCTGGACCATTGGCTGACACTGTAGCTGTCAGCCCATGGATTGATAGAATCCATTCCCTATATATATATATATCATCAATAAGTATTATTTCAAAAAGTTCTTTCAGCAATTTACAAGTATGCTCTGCAAAATCTAAGAGATCAAAAGTTTAACTGTTACATTGAGTGATTTAAATATTCATTTGGTTTCTACTCACATGGCATTTATGTATGTGTGGGCCCCAAGTCATCATTATACAATCATATGGATCATAAGGCTTCATTTTGACATTAGGAAGAATTATTTAACCAGTTCTTTCCGTAGTTTACAACTATGTTATGCAAAATCTAAGAGATCAAAAGTTTATCTTTTGACTGTCATGTTGCTAAGTTTTATTGCAGCTCATTGAGCCATTAAAATGCTGCATATTTCATAGTGTGTTGATTTATGATTTTCTTGCTACTGGAATCTTGAGCTAATGATATGTAAGCATGTTTTACTTTGCTAAAAAAGAAGCACATTTCAGATATTTCAATTGTCACCTCCAACTATACTTGACTATTATATTAAGATATTTCAATTGGCCCCTCCATTCATACTTGAATATTCTATCATTTTACCCATTAGATCGCTAGAATTTCTAGAGCCTACTGTTGTTGAGAAAGAGATCTATGTGGAGCTTTATTCTATTCCGTTTTATGGAGCTATTTATTGATTGTCCACATTCTGGATTGGGACAGTCATCACCAAAGAGAGAGTATAGTGTATGCTGTGTGATATGCCATATACAGCTGGGCATTCACTGTCAGTCCTGAAATGACGGATGGATTTAGTTCTGCAATCACTGTTATTGTTCATCAAGTGGAATTATGGTACATCTCTACCATCTGTTGATAAGGATGGACAGTTAATTGCCCGATTGTGAATGGGAGCATACAGAACCTGTGTATCCTATACTTAACCATTAGCATGTTACTGACTTTTGTGCTTTTAATGGTGTTTGATAAGAATAATGATATTTCTTATTTTTGAAGGACAGTATTTTATCTCTATTCCTTTCTAGTCCTATTTCATATTACCTATTCATTCCTGGAATATAAAAGTAATCAAACTTGGTGGCTCCACTTTAAAACTATCTTTTTGAATCCAGGTTGTAGGAACCTTGTTTACGCATCATCAAAAATGTGTGCTTGTTGACACCCAAGCTTCTGGAAATAACAGGAAAATTACTGCTTTCATAGGAGGCCTGGATCTTTGTGATGGTCGATATGATACACCTGAGCACAGACTATTTCGGGATCTTGACAGTGTCTTTGCAAATGACTTTCACAACCCAACATTTGCAGTAAGTGTATCTGGTATATCGGCATTATCCTTTTCAGGTGTACTTTTGAGGTGTTAAGCAGCATTGCGCTCTATGGCAATCCTACATTACTGAGTGAATTCTGATTTATTACAATTGTGAAATATGATTGTAATTTATTACATTACTGGAGTGCATATATGAATACATAATACATATGTATGTGCATACATATATGTGTATGTGTGTGTGTATTATTATTTGGGCACCTCAAATGCTGGGTGCCCACCTAGGCTTCCAGGCCCTCCCTCACCGCCTGGTACCGCCGACCATTTTTTCTTAACCTTGATTTTACCCCATACCTGGGTGGAGAACTATTATTTGTGTGGTACATGAGACTTGTAAATGTTAAGTCAAATTTCTTTGCGGATGATTTTCTACTAGGGCACGTCTGTTACTAGTGTTGAGTTGATGACACCAAATCGTTCTTGGAGTGCACAGAAAATTAAAGCAATTTTAATTATTGTTTGTAGGTTTTCTTCCAGGATACTTAGACTAGAAAAATCTTTTGCCTTATATTTGGTTGTCATATGTGAATCTCAAATCCATTTAAAAGTCAGTCAAATTATAGCTTAGATTTGATCACCTTAATGTATGTTGTGTATTTATTTTTAATGGAAGATTATTTTGACATTTGATGATGTCCTTTGCATTTAGTGGCCTTCTTATTGTTTACAATTTCATTATTCAACTTTAAATTATCTTCTCATGTTTTGAGAATGATTACAGACTTGTACACGTGGCCCAAGGCAACCATGGCATGATCTGCACTGTAAAATAGAGGGTCCTGCTGCTTATGATATACTTACGAATTTTGAGCAGCGGTGGAGAAAAGCAACGAAATGGCGAGAGTTTAAGCTTAAAAAAGTAACTCATTGGCATGACGATGCCTTGATAAAATTAGAGCGCATCTCATGGATACTCAGTCCATCTACATCTGTTCCTAGTGACGATTTTAACCTATGGGTTTCTCATGAAGATGATGGAGAGTGTTGGCATGTGCAGGTTGAACAAAGTAAAATGTCCTTGAAAAGTTTGAATTGGTCTGCCATTTTGTGTTTCAAAAGTACCCAACTTGGAAATTTTATTGATAGCCAAATATGATATCTGAGCAGGAGTGCCTTCCTTCTATGACAGGTGTTCCGGTCAATTGATTCAGGATCAGTAAAAGGATTTCCAAAAGTTGGTCAGGAAGCTGAAGCAAAGGTTAATATGTTTTTTAGTCTATGCAAAAGTTTCTAGAGAAAGGGTGCCATACACAGCCTGTGTATGATATATGGGACACTTATTGGCGAACCTGTATTCATTCTTAATAACAAATGGTGCAGATTAACCTTACCAAGGTGAACATCCATTATAAAGAAATATGGCATCCACTGTCAGTTGTTGTGAATGGATGACAGGTGTTTGACTATATTTTTTGTACCACCACAGGCTGTGCATGGTATACTGCCCTATTTTATATGACTCCTAGGAAACTTTTCCTTACTGACCTATTCTATTTTCAGTGACAGTTTTTAAAGTTTGATCTATCTGGGACAATCGCAGCTAGATTTGTCCCTTGGTTTATTCCTTTTTCACTTTTCTTTTGTGTTTTGAGGCTTTTAACTTTTTTTGCTTTTATTGTAGGATACAATTAATCTTTTGACTCATTGTTTTGTTACAGAATCTTGTGTGCGGGAAGAATCTGGTTATAGATAAGAGTATACATGCTGCGTATGTCAAAGCAATAAGATCTGCCCAACATTTTATATACATCGAGAACCAGTATTTCCTGGGGTCTTCCTATCATTGGCCATCTTACAAAAATGCAGGTCCAAATATTATGCTTCTTTATTTGCTTCTTGTTTTATTCCTAATAATAAATCTCACTTGCTTATAGCAACTATGTCTGAATCACAACCCTTGGAAGTACGAGCGGTTGTAAGTAATCTTGAAAGAAAAATTATATTACCTGTTTAACTCTTCAATGATTGTCCTATAGAATCTGACTTACCATCTTGCAACAGCATCACAAGGTGCTTTTAACTGACCAGAAGTTTTTGGATGGGATGCTTGTACCTTGTTTCCCTAACCTGTTATATTATTGAATATCTTACTTTAAATATACTGTGGCATGATGACAAGAAACATTTCGTATAGAAGCGTTTCTTGTGTAGTTTTGAGCTACTTTTCTTTGCAATCAACCTGTGATTAAACCACTGGATTTTATTTGCTTTCCGAATTGTATCAGGTTAACTCATATGGCAGCCTAATGGTAAGAAGGAAACAACACATGCAAGCAGATTTGCCTAAACCTTATTTTGCAGCTAGACAATTTTGATTTCGCAATTTGAGTAGAAGGTTCGGACACCATCTTGAAATTATGTACAAGTTGGAAGGAAATTGAAATGTAGTTGCAATCTGGAAGTCCCACTCATACTGAGTTAGATCACCTGACTCGGGTTGGCTTGGCAAGCCACTGTATTTCAAAGACAAAAAAAAAAAAAAAGAAAACGGAAAATTGAAGGGATAAAAAAAATGACAAAAAAAAACATGGAGAAATAAAAAATCCAGACCAAAGTGAAAAATTGACTTCCAAATATAGTTTTATTTGAACAAATATTGATTTAATTTGGATTCAGAAATCGAGCTCAAAATCAAAGAAAAAAAAATCCAATTTTTCATCTTTTGCAATTTCATTTGGTAGGGGCACACAAACAAATGATTTAGATCTTATTGAGTAGTTGGAAATGTTCAAAATCATGTTTTCTTAAGAGAAATAGTTCAAATAAAGAGTAAACTCAAAGAAAATCACAGAAAATCTGGTCGAGGGGAAAAAAATAAAAACCATACTCTTTTGGTTTTGATTCGAAATCTTGTTAGGGCTGGGACAAATTTGACATAATTTAGTGAAACAATGAGAGGGAAGTCGAAGATCTTTAATTTCAGTTTCAAAACAATCCCATATTTGGATCCCCAGTTTCTTCTATTTTGGTTCTTTATAAAAAAAATGCTCGTAAAGATGGCAAAGAGGGTTCAAAAATTGAAATTTTGACTCTAGTTTCATTATGTTTTGTGAAGAAATGAGGGATAAAGATTGAGATGGCAGATTGGGGGTTTCATGAACAAACAACGTTTTTTTAAAAAAAAGGGGCAATTCAAGGGTGAGTTATCCACTTTTGGTCCCAAGCCGTCTTGGGGCGGTTCTGAGTTAGCTAGGAAACATTTTAAACACCGGTTCTTTATATTTCACTTACACATGCATTGGTATGCTTTTTATCATTATTTTTGTTTATATGAGCAGGTGCAGATAATTTAATACCTATGGAACTGGCCTTGAAAATTGCAAGCAAAATTGTTGCAAATGAACGATTTGCCGTGTATATAGTGATACCAATGTGGCCTGAAGGTGTTCCAGCTAGTGCTTCTGTACAGGAAATTCTCTTTTGGCAGGTTAGCTTTGAGTAATTTCGGTCTTCTTGTTTGTCCGTTGCTGTTTGTGCGACTGCTTCTTAATTATACTTTCTAACCCCCCCCCCCCCTCCCCCTCCCTCCCTCCCTCTTCTTTCATTGGTCTACAAATTTTCTAGCCTTAATGGGTACTTTTAATGAACATGTGTGCATATTTTAAAATCTTCTTTCCAAATTTCTTTTTTAAGAAAAAGGATTTGGACCATTTCTCCATTTGATAACTTAATTATCATGCTTTTATGTGATCAAGTTTCATTTGGCTTTGGAAGGAGATGACGGCTTCCATTATTTGAATCTTATTCACTGATTTTGGATTGTTATATTATGAATTGTTATCTTCGAACTCCATTCATAGATTGTACTGTTGATATCCCTTTCATTGCACTGATTGAATGACCATACACATGGCTTTTCACTTTCTGCGATTTTCTACTTGTTTTTTCCCATTTCATCGGCAGTGCATATTATAGAATTTGTGTAGATGTCCTATGTTGCAGTGTTATTTTGGTTACAGGGGCAAACAATGGACATGATGTATCGTATTATTGGACAAGCACTTCAGCAAGCAGGTTTAGCTGGCAAAAGTCATCCCCAAGATTATTTGAATTTTTACTGTCTTGGTAATCGTGAAAGAGGTCCAAGAGAACGATTGGCATCAACAAGTCAACCTTCAGAAAATAGCGTTTTGGTATTTCTTACTTCCACCAAGTAAAATATAAACAACTCATATACGAATGTGGATTGGGAA